GTGTGTATGGATTGGGATAACAGTTGTATGAGCCCCTAATAAAATGATTTTAAAAAATTATTACCTTTCCTATCTTTTATTATTATTAATTGGGGATTAATATATATCATATCATTCCATAGTTCAGTCACATCCAGAAGAATTGTACATTTGCTACCACAATTAGTTTCCAAATATTTCTTTTCTACGTGGACTCCTTGCTATCTTCTACCCTTCCCCCTGTCATACCACTGTATCCCCATAACCCTCCGAATCCCTTATTCTTATTATTATATACATTCATCTTCCTAGGCTTCACATACTGATGACCAAAGAAACATGTAACACAACTTCAAGAGGCTGGCTCCCAATGACCCAACCCCTCTGAGATGCCCCTATTATGTACAAACAAAAACCAAACCAAAAATACAGAAACGTTTAGAAACCAGATCCGGCCCACAATGTATTTTAGGGGGGTTTCTGTTGACCAAGTTTTAACTGTTCAGGTCAAATGTATGCCTTTGATCTACTTTACTCAACTTTCTAATGCCCTCTCTTTATGAACCACTTTCTTTCTATCCTTCAATGGTGGACAGAGGGAGTTCACCGGAGGCTTATTTCCTATGTAGTTCTACAAATGGATCTTGCCCTTCCGCTGTCATCTATAGTCCACTGCAAACTGGATCCTTTAAGATTCCAGACGCTATTTTACCTGATAGCTGGGGACCATCTATTTCTTTACCACATTTTGTTATTGCACACATATTTTCTGTGTTCCTTTCCTGAGGGCAAGTATGAAGCAGGACCATGATGTAAGAACTTATTGTTCTTTTAAACAAAATCATTTTATTGGGGGCTTGTACAACTCTTATCACAATCTATACATACATACATTGTGTGAAGCACATTTGTTGCCATCATCATTCTCAAAACATTTGCTTTCTGCTTGAGCCCTTAGTATCAGCTCCTCATTTTCCCCCTCCCCGTTTCCCCCTTCCTTGATAATTTACACGTTATTATTATTTTGTCATATCTTACATGGTCCGATGTCTCCCTTCATCCACTTTTAGGCTGTCCATCCCCCAGGGAGGAGGTTATATGTAGATCCTTGTAATCAGCTCCCCCTTTCCAACCCACCTTCCCAGTATCGCCATTCTCAGCACTGATCCTGAAGGGATAATCTGTCCTGGATTCCCTGTGTTTCCAGTTCCTATCTGTACCAGTGTACATCCTCTGGTCTAGGTGGATTTGTAAAGTAAAATTGGGATCATGACAGTGGGGGTGAGGAAGCATTTAAGAACTA